TTTTACCCAGTGCTTTCTGATAATGCGGTCATGAACACTGACTTTAGCCAAGATGAGAGAGGCCTGTAGATTTGTTGTATAGTTTTACACACAGTCATTTCCAGTTCTTGTGACAAACATTCATTCTTCACAATAGACCATATAATGCATACCACTCTTCTACAAGCATTAGCATGTCTTAAAAATAGCATGTCTTAAGAATTCTCCATCCATTTTTTTCGTATTTCTAGCATGACTTCCAGCAAGATGCATGTTCATCTACTTGTTCTGTTTTTTCACCTTTCATATGTAATTTGAAATTGTTTACTCCATTTTCTATGCCATGCTCTTGATACATTCATTTTTAGAACCATATTCTTTGTCTAACATTCACTGCAAATCATTCAGGATCTTAGCCAACAACATGGCATTGTCTGCATACAGAAATATTTGGACATCCATGACTGTAAGCAACATACTTCTAATGTCTCTACAAGTATCCTTTATACATTTATCCATAAATACTTTAAACAGTCAAGAGTCAACCTTGTCAATACTGAACCATTTGCTAAATATTTCATTTATTCCCATGCATGCTTTACTTCAATAATTTACTGCTCTTACTACATTCAGTAACCAACTTTCAACTGCATATTTATGCAAAGCATTCCATAATTCAAGTTTATTCACTTTAACATACATTTTCTCTAAATCAACCAATGAACAATACACTGTGTCACATTCATGTATTTTTCAATGACCAAAATTTTTGTCTTCACTGCCCCCCCCCCCCCTTCCAAAAAGAGCTGCATTGCACTTGCCATTTTTTAGTTGCTGCCACTTTTCTCACTTTTTCAGTCTTTTCTCTTTTTGACCACATTCTTTGTAACTAACTGTTTTCTAGAACTAACATCTCTGACCTAGTGATTGTGAAAATAATCATAAGACACATATTTGAGAAGTCCATTTGAAAACATTTGCAAGAATGGGTTAAAAAAGACCTAGAAGAAAAATAATTAAATTTCCTTAGGTCAAATGGAGATGCTTTCTATGTTTCTTTCAAAGCTTTCTATGTTTCTTTCAAAGCTTTACTATGTAAACCTGTCCCCTATTTCACCCACTTATTGTACAGTTGTTGATATACTTTGCTTTTCTAATAAACTATAGCTCAAATTGGGAAAGAATGGCTACCATTTCAGGCCATATTTCAAACCATAGTTTAAGTTTCTGACTTGTTCTGAAGCTGATAGCTAAAACTTCCCTGCTTCAGATGAAAATGGAAACTATGATTATTAAGAAATGTCCTGGCTTAATTTGTTTCTTATCTCCTGTATTTTAGTTAAAAGGCTTGTAAATATAAATTATTTAATATATTTATATACTGTCATGCCATTCTTCTCCAGATGGTTACACCATCTTCTGTATAATTTAAAATACTATAAAATGTATAAAATAATAATATAGAAATGTTTTAAAATTTCTATAGAACTGTGTACAAACTTTGGAGCCAAAGGAAAAAAAGAGGATTTGCAGCATGTACTGTAGGAGCGCTTGGGTAGCAGCTTTCAGCAACTCCTTAAAGCAGCAACCTCTGTTCATGCTGTTGTGTGACTGCCCTCTGCAGTTGCAGCACAATTCCAGGAAAATAACACATTTGGGTTGTGAAATTGCTGCTCTCCCCACACCCATGTGCCCTCTGAAGCATCGTTTCCCTTCAAACCAAGAGCCCTAATATCTTAGTATAATTAGCTGGGATTTCACATCCAAATGCAGCTAACTGAATTGTGTTACCCTTATTGTGTTTTATGGAATAATATCTAATTCACATGTGGCAGAAAGTGATTAGACGCAGACTTTGTGGAGTTATTTACGTTATCATTTAGGCATAAACTAGTGTTGAAATACAAACAAGGGTTGGTAGAACCATCGAACTAGTTGCATGGCTTAATCCTACCAGCTTTATCCTATCAGCTTCCTATATGCTACAGAGGAGATAATTCTTGAACCTGCGAAGAATTATAATATCAGTTTGCTGTTTGGTGTGGCAAAAGATAGGTACAGGTATTCAAAGCAGAACAGTGAAACCTTTTACTGGACAGGGCAAGTCTGAACAGTTTGTTGGATCCTAGCCATACATTTATCTTGTTACAATGGTGAAACAGCTAGCTTAATGAACCATTTAATCTAAGAGAGAAGGAAAGATAGTATGTTTACTGCTTATATTTTCTGACATGTTTTGGAAATGGTTCTACAAAGAAGGAGAGGGAGACTCAAAATGTTTAGATATTCTGCTTCCCATGTGGATTTGTGTGTGTGTGTGTGGGGGGGGGATGTTTAGTAAGTTGAGGATTTTCCCCCCTGTTGTTTATATTCTTTAGATAAAAGTTGTTTTGTTTTGTTAAGTGTGGGTTACTTGGTCATAATTTATCAAAAGTGACACATAAGTAACCTGATATTACTGGTGAGCCATCTGAGAGATGGCTGAACTAAACAAAGAGAGAGAGAGAGAGAGAGAGAGAGAGAGAGAGAGAAGAAGCAGTTGAAAGCCAAAAGTTATGCATTCAAATCTAAGAGGATTTTAATTTTCATTCTTGCCAGAATCAAAGCAGACAAAATTCTAACAGAACAATTGGGAGGGCAATTATGTTCTTTACTGTGGATTGTGCATTCTTTGTTTGTTAGATTAGATCTATATTGTTATTAGTTAGATTTGTACCTGAAAGACAGTTTTAAATTGTCAAAAATAACTTGCCAAAATAGTTAAACACTTCTTTCTCTGTCAGCATCACAGATTTTATCTGAATGAAACTCTTATTCACAGCTGGATCTCTTACATGTTTTTTTGTTTGCCCTGAGGGAGTAGAGGAAGTGAATGTAAAATAGGAACACAAAAAGATAAGTATAACCATAGGAAAGAAGTGTATTTTCCAAGCAAAAATTGCCCAGCTACTTTTTGATTGCCACTATGGCTCCCTCCAATCAAATGATATGTAGGTTATTAGTATTATGTTAAATGAATGGTAGGATAAAGTAGTTGCATGGAGAACTAATCCCTGAGACTATGCCCTTCTCTAAATATGTTCAGAAACAAGCTTTTTTGTTCTACTCTTCTATGTATATGTCTCAGCTCTTTACATTATTTACCTAATGCATATACAAATAACTTCTAAAAACTGATAAGATTTATCTGTTGATTTGTCATTGTAACCACTTAAGCCAAAGGGACCATGTTAAGTACTTCTCCCTGAATAAATCATCTCTTTTCATTGCCTTATTGAAAGAGGTGACCAACAACTCATTGAGTAAATATAATAGAAATTCAGTTTACTTTTGTTTTATAATAATTGAATGATTACTGTATAGAATTTCTGATTTTATAATCAAAGAATTTCTAGCAATTCTTTGAATGATTATAATTTTATTAGAATTCCACTACAGCTGGAGGTCTCCAAGTTGGAGAAAGTTGCAGTATAAGGTAGATCCCATCTAGAGGTGTAAAGCATACAAAAAACAACAACAAAAAACCCACTATAAAAATCTAGAAAAAAAAATAAATTACAGTAGAATTTCTAAATGCTTTTCTTTTATGCTTCTGAATATACTGCATGTAATTTGTGAGAGAATATCTGACATGCAGATAGTGATCTGGAAATTTTAACATGATAGTCATTTTCTTTTTATTGACATTGATCAAAAACAGTTCTACAAATTTAATGGCTGGCTGGCCTGTGGTGATGTTACCAAAAAAACCTCACCAGTTCCCCAAACATTGAAGCTGTTCCAAATGTAGATATTATTTAAAACTAAAAGGGCAGTTTGTAAAATAAATGTAAAGTGATACTTTAAAGAATAAAATATACTTTAAAGGATAAAAAATGCTGAAGGACCACTGTTGGAATTTTACGTATATGTATATGCACTTAGATATACATAAAGAGCCAATGATGTTTCCAGGAGGGACTGAAGAATTTTATGTTCAGTTTTTACTGGTAGAGAAGAACCCCAAGGTAATTCTCACTGTTGCAAAGTTTGCACAGCTTGTAAAACTTACATGTTGTTGATAGCAGATCAATGCAAGTATGACCATACATTTTTCACCTTGTATGCCTTATTTTGAATGTTCTGTTTTTTAGGTTGTATTCAGTGGGTTTTATGACTTGGAACAATAAAGAACCTGAATTTGTATATCTTTTCTCTCATCTAGTGGTCATCTGCATTTTTGTAGCTCCAATTGGACAGCCTTTAAAAAAAATTAAATTATATTGCTTTAATAAGACCAAAAAAGAAAGGAGGAAAGAAAGAGAAACAACATGAAAACAGGCTGTGACTAAAAATAAATGAATTGAATTTGAATTGAATTTGCTGTTTCTCTATTTCCTTGCTGCACAATCTGCTTAAAAAGAGCTAAACAGGAAAAATCTCCTTTAAAATCTCTTGAGGAAAGAATTTTATCTGTCAAAGACTGCCTTGAGTAAGGAAGGATTAAGTGTTGTAGATGGAAATGGAGGAAAGAATAGCCATTATTATAGGATAATTCTCAATAGACATGTCTGACAATTTGTTGAATGGCCTGAGTGTTATTGACTCCATCACCTTTACTATGAATTCTTACTGATCATTAATGTATGTCATAACTTCTTTTAAAATATTAAATATTTTAATATTAAAATATTTGTTGCATTAAATATGCTTTAATAATAATTGGATAGGCAAATCCCCATTTTCCTGTAGTTCTTGAAAATATGTAAATTTGTGAATAAGGAAAATGTTACATTCACAAATGGCAACTACAAGACTTTAACAAATACAGTATTTAACAAAGCCACAGTTCCTGTACTTTTTGAATCAAAGCTGAAAATATGAGCAGCACAGTGAAAAATTAGAGAAGTTTTTTTTTCCCCCAGTTCAAGATGGCAAATGTCAGATTTTGAAGTAAGCATTGTTTTGCGGGAAATCTGTGTTTTATCTGACAAATATTATTACCAGCCAAATGATATAAATTTCTTTCTTTTTTCATTCAGGGGTGCTACATCTATTGTCTACCGGTGTAGGCAGAAAGGAACTCAAAAGCCATTTGCTGTCAAAATCTTGAAGAAAACTGTAAGTTCCTATTCATGAGTTTTTTGTCGCTGAATTTTGCTTCAGAGCAGAGCTGCAACAGAATACAGATGCATTAATTTCTCACAGGCTCACCAATGTAGACCCTCACGCTTCTTTTAATCCAGATTAATAAAGCATATGGGATATTTTATGTTGAATTCAAAGCAAACTATTACTTAATAGGACATCTCCTGAACCATCTGAGATCTGCTATAGTTCAGCAGAACCAAGCTCAGAATGCTTTGGTTGTTCTGCATTTTGAACAATACAAAATCCTGATGGAGCAAGTAAGACAAGGCTGGGGCATGTTACCCTCTGTCTCTCCTCTTCTTCCCAGTAACTCCCAGTACAACATATCTCATTGCACCCCTAATCTTTCTGGCAACTTTCCTGTCTCCCTTCATCTGCCACTGCTGATGACCTTTGCGCTCTCCCCCAAACATCTGCCTGGAACAACTGTATTTTGGTCTATGTATGAAACAAACATCTTTGTCCTAAAGTATGGATCTTACTGTTATGTAGGAATTGTATAAATGTAGATCTATTCTGAAAAACTATAATGTCTATAGAAGCCTTCCTTAAACTGGCCTTCTCCTGATGTCTTAGATTCCATCTCCAGGAGTCCCAGCCAGCATAGCTGAACCTGTGCTAACTAGGTTTCTTGGAATTGCGGATAGGATTCTGTTGTAACAGCATTTAATTATAACTATACAGCACTTATTAAATGCTTATTAAATTTAAGATTCCAATATATAATATTTGTTATCTATGGGACCTAATTTCCCATTAAGTAGAAGGTATGTCTCACTCCTCACTATGATTAAAATCCACATCTACATGGCTTATAGAAATTTATGATAGCATTTTTCATTGGGGAAATTCAATTTTAGAATGAGAATCAAAATGGAATAAAACAGATCTAATTCAAAAATGCCAAAGACATTGGTTACAAAGATGGGCATGCAGTATCTTGCAATGAATACCATTTATGTTACCAGAAATCATGTGGTATAACATTAAAATTAGAGTTTATAAAGATTGCAAATTTTATCTGTTATTGTAGCATGGTATCTCTGAAAAGTGAGGAAGACGTGGTAAGTGACTTAATATGTGAAAACCAAATTAAACAGGGCTAACTTCTCCTATATTGAATAGTGCTATATACCTTGTCATATACTGTCTCTTACTCTCCCTCTTTTATTTGGAATTCCTCATAGAAGAAAAGATGATGGAGCTTTGACTATCACAGATTGTGAAGATCGGGGTATAAATGTTTTCCTCTCAATCTTGTGTTATTGTGAGATGAAAACAATTCTTGATGATTGATTATTGATACCTCTGCCATGTATAAATTAAATC